TACTTTATTATGGTATAGTATTTAAATTTTTACCTGAGAAATACATAATATTGGCCCTTTAAGCTTGGATTACACTTCAATAAGATGTGAGACAGYGGGATGTCTTTTTCCTGAGCAAGTATAAAAAGACTGAATCATAGATCCTCCCTCTGCCTCCCACGGCTCATATAAGTACATAAACAGCAATAAACATGGCTGGATATTGTATTTTTATCAGTCAATGATCAGTGTTGTGTTGGGTGAAGAACAGTCTGTGGTGGAAAAACTTTTTTAAATGGTGGTGATGGAAAAAAGACATGAAAATCTGAAAACCAGCTGCTCTTCTAGTTCTTAACAACTGACTTCAGACAAAAACAATCATTTTAAATAAAATAAGCTGCAGAAGGCAGAGCTGATCRAAGTCCTACTCCTCAGTGCTGCAGCAGCTGTGGTGTTCCCCATGAAAAAACACACCCACAAAGTTTTGACCAATCACATGCTCCGAGCTGCAAAGTCTGTATCTTACAGTTCTGTCTGGGGGCAATGCACAAGACTGCTGTCGCCGGGGGATAGCAGCGGGAGAACAGACAGAAATCGAGCAATTTTTTGTTGCTCAGCAGGAGGAACAAGACGTGCAACTCGTAGTATAAACCAGGCTKGAGTCAAAGCGACACTCTGGGCATGTTTTTAATGAGAATTGCCCCTTTAAATGTTGCGAGCAGTAAATTTTACATTTTTTTAAATATAGGACTGCAAAGGCCTACAGTGCTTTAAAAATGTAAAACAAGTTATTAAAAATGAAAATTTATAGACTATTTTATATATTTCTGCAGGAGACACATCTTATAGAGGAAGATGACAGAACAGTTTGCTTCACTTATGACTTATTCAAGAATCTGTTCCATTTTATGTAAAAAATGTTAAAGTTAAAATGGGTACGTACTTAGTAGTTCATGGGTCTTTACTATTAGAATATAGAAAAATTTACAAAGCAACTACTGTAAATAACTTGCTGGTGGTTCTAAATATCTTATTAAAAAGAACAAAAATGGCACTAAAATCAAATAAAATGAGTTATAAACAAACAAATTAAAGCAAACCCTCAAAAATAGCTGTGTTTCCATCAACATTTTTAATGCACATTTTGAAGTATCACATCAGAAAAGGTGAATGGAAATGGCATGATTGGAAAAAAAACTCTAATTTGCATAAAAGTTGATACACTCGCTTGAGSTGGTTTTTGGTTTTTTCAAAAATGAGTTAATGTGCAAAAGGAGAGATGGAAACACATTTGCAGAATAAGTTCAGACATAGCGAACATTTATTTTCACATGTTGATCAGCTGTTCTCGCTGTCTGTCTGAAACTGGTACCGATACCAGAGCGACTTCAGCTGGACCCTCCTGCTGTCGGCGTCTTCTCAGTTATTCCTGTAACGTGAAGAGAATCACATTTCTTTCTCTACATCTGCAGACAGCAGGAACATCGCCAAAACCAGTTGATATGACAAAAATAATTACAACTTTCCTGATAATAGCAACATGTTCCTGATAACTTCTCTCCATTTTCTTGAGATGCAACTTTTACTTCCTGTTTACTACACACGTGCATCTGATGTAACTGATTCGCTTCAAGCCAGTTGATGGAAACACGTCTGATTCGCATTTATTCGTTTTTTCCTTTTTGCGAAATTTTAAAAATTTGTTCAAAATTTGAATTACAATTGGATGGAAACACGCCTACAAAGGACATGCTGCTGTTTTCATTTTTGATTCAAAGTGAGTTGAGTCAGAACTATTTGTTTACTTTCCAGGTTTGGTGTTGGTGACGGATGCAATCACAGCTATGGGTCTTCCTCCAGGCCGTCACTCTCTGGGTCAGCAGGTCATTGAGATCCAGGGTCTCCACGCCTACGTAGCAGGTTTTATAACTATTATTTTTTAACAGATACTCTCAAACAAGATGTCTAACTTTTATTGGATATTATTCATGAATATTTTGTTCATGAGATGAATGAACAGAAAATATTTTACTAAAACATTTTATTTACCGTTATTTAAGCATGCAAGTCCTGTTGAGATTGCAGATCTCTTTTTCAAGGGAGGCCTGGAGGCAACCTATTGTACATGTTTTTGTGTTGTGGGGGAAACTGGAGTACCCAGAGAAAACCCACACAAGCACGAGAAGAACATGCAAACTCTGCACAGAAAGACCCCAGGTCTGAAACCAGGACCTTCTTGCTGTGAGGCGTCGGTGCTAACCACTGAGCCGTTGTGCTGACCTTTGTTTCTGCTCATATTGCTTCATGTTTATTTAGTTGTATCAGTTTATTTAAATAACAATAATTTACAACAATATCAGCATTTGTGAAGAAAATCAAATGTTGTTCTATATCCATCCATCCATCCATCCATCCATCCATCCATCCACAATCATCTGCTATATCTTCAGTCAGGTCGCGGGGACAGCAGCTTGAGCAGGGAAGTCCAGACCTCTCTCTCTCCAGCCACCTCTTCCAGCTCTTCTGGATGAACTCCAAGGTGTTCCCAGGCCAGCTGAGAGATATAGTCTTTCTAGCGTGTCCTGGGTCTTCCTCGGGGCCTCCTTCCCAGTTGGGCATGCCTCCTGAAGCACCTCCCTAGGGAGGTGCTTCAGGAGGCATCCTTACTAGATGCCCAAACCACCTCAACTGACTCCTCTCGATGTGGAGGAGCAGCAGCTCTACTCTGAGTCTCTCCCAGATAACTGAACTTCTTCTCCTATATAATCCAGATAATTTGATTGGCTGACACTGATCAGACTCTGGTTTTTAAATGTTTCACTGAGACCCATCTGGTCTATTTGTCTTATTATTGACTCCTGGAAATAGAGATTAAACTTGGACCACAGAGCACTTTTCTTCATGTCTTCCTGAAATGAGCTCATCTTCTCAATACATGTCCTTTATCTCTCTGTATGTTTGAGACAAGTTTGTGTCCGTAGAATGTGTCCTTTGTCTCTCTGCCCACCTGGGAAAAGCTTATGTCCACAAAATGCTTGTCCCATCTCTTTGTGCACCTGAGATGAGCTCACATTTGTTTAGACAACTCAGTTTTTTCTGATTATTATTACTATTATTATTGTTGTTGTTGTTGTTGTTGTTGTTGTTGTTGTTGTCATGAGTCTGAACAGAAATAGATGGAAACTCCACTTCTGTCATAAACTGAGGTGCATAAACACCAAGTTTTAATCTTTCAGGGACAAAGACACTCAGCGGCAGCATTGCCACAATGGACATGTGTGTTCGCCACTTCAAACAGGCTTCAGGTCAGTTTACTTCTTTTAGTTAAAAGTAAAAAAAAATTGGCTGCATTATTATTTTTTCTGACCAACATTTTCAAACGTTCTTACAAACATTTAAACACTGCTTCTGTGCTAGTTAATAAGATTTTAGCAGAACTGACAAAATGACAAAGAAATTGGTTATTTAATGATTAACAATGTTTTTTAATTTTTTTAATATGTACAGAAACAATTGATTACACATTATGAGTTTATTGTTGGTTTATTTCTTATTTTCAGAACTGTAAAAACAGACTTTTTTATTAAAACAAATCAATATGAGCTTTAGGTTATAATTTTAGTCTGCCTAGGTGTATGACATAATACCATGGACATTCATTTATAGGCTTGTTATTTTTTTGGTTTACTACTATAAATGTTGTAGTGAGTTGTTAGGAGAGAAACTGAAATATGATTAACTATTCCTGTCCTACATTACACTTTTACCTGTTGGGGCACCAGGTCAGTTAATGACCAACATTTATTCACCTTTTTAATCAGACTCAAATTTACTGGAGTGAGGTCATGAGGTCATGATGTAACAGTTAATTCTTATCTCAGACCAAAATACTCAAAGATGAGGAACCAGCTTTGTCTTTTATGGTAATTTATTACAAAAATACAGCAAGAATCAATTTCATTGAATCGTGACTGAAACAGTAAAAATAACAGACAAAGTATTAAGGTTTATAAAACAGTTAAAGATGAAAAGGATTGTAGACTTGATGTTATTCATCAAGTTAAGATAAGGTCTGGATGTTAAAACCTTTATAGAATGAAAATACATTTTCCCCAATGGAATTTTTTTTTCTATTGATTAATTGACAAGAGACCCAAGTTAAAACCTATAAGTTGTTGTCAATTTGGAAAGAAGGTGTTAAGATCTGAACCAGATTGATTTTTGTAACTTTTATCTTACTGCAAGTCGTAAGAATCTTATCAAAGTTGCCTCGGCTGTTTAAACCAAGATTGTTCTGCAAACCACTTGTGTAATGCCTGATAAGGTACGGTTCATTAGCTCACCAAGGTGGAGACCTACCTCTGTCTCATTGGAGGTGAAGGCTTGTGTGCCAGACTGTGAGGTCCAGATGATTCAGATCTGCCCTGAGGTCATTACGGAGAGGTTCGTACGAATTCACTAATCAGACCCCGCTGGGTCATCACAAACTTCCCATTTGCAGTAATCAAGAATTACATTTTTTCCCTCAGATGGTTGTCGCCCATCATCAGTTCCTGAAGCTTCCAGCTTCCTCAGCAAATCTCAGATAATCACTGTCTGAAAACCAAAACTGGACTAATTTTCACAGTTTTGCACCCAGCTTGCAGCTGTGTGTTTTTCTTAGACAAAACAAAAGATAGCTTAAGTCTCTGTCAGAAGAATATAAAATTTCTTTTGGGGAGAATATTATGTTGACTTAGACAGAGTGGCATCTCTGTCAAAAAATGCACAGGTGTTGTTTATCTTCTGCTCAGGAAAAATCAGTAAAAAGAGAACAGTCAGTTAAATTAACACTGGTGTGAAAATGAATGACAGTTCAGAAATCATCTTCAGATCATAGTGTGACAGTACACACTTGAAGTAAAAATACCTTTAAAAAAGGACAATCATGTTAGTGATCATTAATGATTATTTTCTTTTTTATATAATATAATGAATCTTAAAGGATTAAAACAGATTGTTGTGTCAGCATTATCTGCATGATAGTGACAGTTTTTTGAAGCAAATATAGTTTTGTCTCTAAGAAAGCTTTTTCAAAACAAAGTTCAGTTAATCGTGAGACATGACCAGTGGTGGTTAGAAAGTCATGTCAGGGGTCACGGTAGCTCATGCTACAGTGTGAAAGTGTTATCTATATTATGCCTGGAATTTGAATGTTTGCACACGTTCTGATAATGCTGGTTTGTTTTGTTTTTTTGTTGGTGGTGTTATTGTCTTACAGATCTGAATAGGTTCTGTTCTGAAATGACTTTGTCCTTCAGGTCCTATCACAATGTCCAGTTGTTGGGCTCATTCATCTCATCTCCATCTTGGTTTCAGGCTGCAGTACAGAAGAAGCTCTGGAAGCTGCTTCTCTTCATCCAGCTCAGCTTCTCAACATCACCAACAAGAAGGGGACTCTGGACCATGGCTCAGATGCAGGTCAGACTGTTTCATAAGACTGRTGTTTTGATATAGACATTTATTTATTTTGTTATACTACACTCAGGAAGCTGGAATTTGAAGCTGGAGCGGTTATAACAATATCCCCACAAGATGGTTCTAGTCTAAGTTTTAGAACAACCCCCTCCATATAAACAATCAAAACTTTGATTTTGTTAAAAATATCTCAAATGTTTTCAGGGTTGTTGATTTTTGATGCTTCCATCTCTTGTTGATTGCCATAGTGCTTACCTTGCATCTGTTTGGTCAAATATTAATTTTTCTAACCTCCATCCATCTGTCCGTTTTCTTCCTCTTATCCGGGATCAGGTCTCGGGGGCAGCAGTCTAAGCACAGAGACCCAGACTTCCCTCTCTCCAGCCACTTGGGCCAGGTCTTCTTTGGGGAATCCCAAGGCAATCTCCCACTTCATTGTTCCCTCATTCATGAACAATACCCCGAGATACTTAAACTGCTCCACTCGGGGCAGGACCTCTGACCCAGAAGAGGCAATCTGCCCTTTTCTGGTTCAAGACCATGGACTTGGACTTGGAGGCACTGATCCTCATCCTGGCTGCTTCACACTCAGCTGTGAACCACTCCAGTGAGAGTTGGAGAGCATGATCTGATGAAGCCAATATGATCACATCATCAGCAAAAAGCAGAGATGTGATCCTAATGTCATCAATCAGGATTCCTTCAACACTTTGGCTGCACCTAAAAATATCGGTGACAGAGGGTAACCTTGGCAGAGTCCAATTTTCACAGGAAATGAGTCCAACTTACTACTGGCAATGCGAACCAAGCTCTGACACAGTCATACACAGACCTAACAGCCTGTATCAAAAGGCTTGGTACCACATACTTCTGGAGTATCCTCCACAGGACTCCCTAGTACACAAAACTTGTAGAATGGTTGAGCGAACTCCCGTGCACCCTCCAGGACCCTTCTGAAGGTGTAGAGCTGGTCCAGTGTTCCCAGACAAGGATGAAAACTACACTGCTCATCCTGAATCAGACATTCAACTATCTGGTGGACCCTTCTCTCCAGGGCCCCTGAATAGACCTTACCAGGGAGGCTTATAAGTGTGACTTCCCTGTTGTTGTAACACACTCTGTGGTCCCCCTTTTTAAATAGAGAGACCACCACCCTGGTCTGCCAATCCAGGGAAACTGCCCCTGATGTCCACATGATATTGTAGAGTTGCATCAGTCAATACAAACCCACAACATCCAGAGCCTTAAGGAAATCTGGGCCAATCTCATCCACCCCCGGCACCCTGCCACTGAGGAGCTTTTTAACCACCTCAGTGATCTCAGCACCAGAGATTGGAGAGTCCAACCCAGGATCCCCTGGCTCTGTTTCCTCATTGGWTCACATGCTGGTGGGGTTAAGGAGGCCTTCAAAGTGTTCTGCCCACCAATCCACAATGTTAACAATGTAAACAGTGCTGGTGGTGAACCGCTTTCCCCCCAAGATGCTGGATGGTGGACCAAAATCACGTCAAAGCCATACAAAATCTTTTCCATGGCCTCTCTGAACTCCTCACATGTCCAAGGTTTTGCCACATCTTTTTTCTTTAACTTTTGTCACAGTTGGGGATGTTTGATTTTGTTTTATTGTGTTTTTTTTAGTTTGTGTTTCGTTAGATTTCTACTTTTTATTTTTTATTTTATGATTATATTGTATTTTATGACTGTGTGCAGCACTTTTGTCCTGTTGGTGTTTAAAGTGCTTTACAAATAAAGTTGGTATGGTATGGTATGGTACAGCTCCTGTAAGCCGCATAGACATTGGAGGCACAGAACATGGCCCACTCGGACTCAATGTCCCCCACTCCCACCAGAACGTGTTCAAAGTTCTCCCAGAAGTGTAAGTTGAAGCTCAATCTGACAGGAGTCTCTGCCAGACAATTCCAGCAGACCCTCAGTATATGTTTGGGTCAGCCAGGTCTGATCGGCATCTTCTCCCACCATCGGAGCCAGCTCACCGCCAGGTAGTGGTCAGTTGACAGCTCCGCACCTCTCTTCACCTGAGTGTCCAAGACGTTTGGCCACAGATCAGATGAAATGACAACAAAGTCGATCATCGAACTGCGGCCTAGGGTGTCCTGGTGCCGAGAGCACATATGGACACTCTTATGCTTGAACATGGTGTTCATTATGGACAATCCATGATGAGTACAGTAGTCTAATTAAAAAAACACCTCTCGACTTCAGATTGCAAGGTCGTTCCTCCCAACCACACCCCTCCATGTCTCACTGTCATTGCTCATGTGAGCGTTGAAGTCCCCCAGCAGAACGAGGGAGTCCCTGTTAGGCGCGCTCTCCAGCACCCCCTCCAAGGACTCCAGAAAGTGTGGTTAATCTGAACTGCTGTTACCCCCAATTTACATTGCTTGCGTTCCGTCTCCGCTCCGGTCCGACCTCCGCAGCAAATACGCACCCATTATAATCAATGAGAGTGTTTACACTGGCTGCGCAGGGCGGCGGTGAGTGGACGGCGATCCATCAAAATTAGAACAGATCCTATTTTTGCCGGATGCCAGAGCTGCGCCGTAGTCAATTTTGAAAGATTACGTTGCACCAACAGGAAAAGACACGAGCACAACATCAGTATTTTCAAAATAAGACACTATTCGGCAGAATAATTTGTCAGAATAATGTCAAAATTGCGGCTATATCAATAAATATACGGATATATTACTACACAAATGCTGTCAGAATGTATYGTTCTATTTGGGAAGCGGATAGAAACATGTAGCATGAAGCATATGAGTACACACATGATACACGTGGATTTTATTTTGAAATCAGAAGTTTCAGAAAGCCGACAGCGAGACAGTTTCAACATAGATACCAAAAGCCTTTATATCATTGTTGTCAGCTGTGTTTGGAGTTCATCTTTCACAGAATTAATTATTTTTTGCTGTGACTTCCACATTTATCACTGAATTTATTGCGCGATCTGCTTCCTGCACGTCTGTCGGACCAGAGCGGAGCGGAGGTAGTGTAAACTGGAATTGAAATGCACAGCTGCGACCTGCGCAGCAGAGATGCATGCAGTATAAATCCGGGGTTAGGCTCATAGGCACAAACAACAGTCAGGACCCGTCCCCCCCATCCGTAGGTGGAGGGAGGCTACCCTCTTGTTCACCAGGGTGAATCCCAACGTACAGGCACCGAGATGGGGGGACAATAAGTAGGCCCATTCCTGCTCRGCACCTCTCAGCATTGGCAACTCCAGAGTGGAAGAGAGTCCAACCCCTCTGGAGGAGACTGGTTCCAGAGCCAGAGCGGTGCGTCGAGGTGAGTCCAACTATATCTAGTCAGAACCTCTCAACCTCACACACCAGCTCAGGCTCCTCCCCCACCAGAGAGGTGACATTCCACATCCCTGGAGTCAGCTTCTGTAGCCGAGGATCAGACCGCCAAGGTCCTCACCTTTGACCACTGCCCATTGCACAATGCACCCAACCCCTCTGCCCCCTCCTACAGGTGTTAAGACCAAAGGAAGGGGGAACCACGTCTCCTCTTTGGGCTGTGCCTGGCCAGGCTCCATGGGCAAAAGCCTGGCCACAAGGGGCTTGCCAATTTGCTCCACATCCAGGCCTGGCTCCGGAGTGGGGCCCCAGTGACCTGTGTCTGGGCAAGGGAACTCCAAGTCCAATGTGGACACTCACCATAAGGAGTCTTTGAATCAGTGTACATTTCCATGTGTAGTTTTYTGATGCTGCAATTAAAGCTATGACCACTTTTTACAAGATTATCATGGTCTTACTCAGCACCTAGCATAAGTAGGGTAAACTAAAATACATTGTCAGTAATACAGTGCGGTGCAAAAGTTTGGGCAGCCTTGTTAATTTTCCTGATTTACCTTTATTAATCATTGAATGTTTGGATTAAAAATATCAGTAAAATAAATCATATATGGGACAACCAGTGATATTAGAGAAGTGAAATAAAGTTTAAATGATTTACAGAAAGTGTGCAATAATTGGTTAAACAAAATTAGGCAGGTGCATTAATTTGGGCACTGTTGTCATTTTATTGATTTCAAACCTTTAGAACTAATTATTGGAACTTAAATTAGGTTTGTTAAGTTCAGTGACCCTTGACCTCCATACACAGGTGACTCCAATTATGAGAAAGGGTACTTAAGGGGGGCAATAGTAAGTTTTTCTCCTCTTTCATCTTCTCTGAAGAGTGGCAGCGGGAGTCTGAAAACAAGTTTCAAATGATCTGAATACAAAGATTGTTCAGCGTCATGGTTTAGAGGAAGGAGACAGAAAGATATCTGAGAGATTTCATCTTTCAGTCTCCACTGTGAGAAACATTGTGAGAAAATGTTAGACCACAGGCACAGTTCAAGTGTAGGCTCCAAGTGGCAGACCAAGACTAATCTGGAATAAACAGAAGTGAAGGATGTTCAGAAGAGTCAGAGACAACCCACAGACCAGCACCAAACACCTACAACATCATCTTGCTGCTGATGGAGTCACTGTGCATCGTTCAACTATTCAGCACACTTTACACAAGGAGATGCAGTATGGGAGAGTGATGCAGAGGAGTCCTTGTCTCCGCCCACATCACAAACAGAGCAGCTTGAGGTTTGCTAAAGCACATCTGGACAAGCCAGCTTCATGTTGGAATAAGGTGCTGTGGAC